GCTACAGTCTGGATTGTGCAACTTTCTGCCTTGTCTGAATACCACTCCTGAACAAATGAATTGGAGTGTTATAGTGGTAGACACAATTTAAATTAGGTTTCATTTCAATTCATTTCTGCCTATAACTAAAAACAAAATCCCAAGTGGTTAAGTGGCATGGAATTCTAAATTCTGAATATTTTTAAAATGAACTTCGTCCAAATTCGTTTATGTGTTATATGAGTGGAATGAATGCCCACTATAAAATTGTGAACCACATATAGAGTTTGCCTATGGGCAATAAAACAGCAGTGAATTCAGGCTGTAACAATATACCAGACATATGATACATGTGCAATCTAAAAACAATTTTATTTTATCTCTCAATAGACTAATGTAATCTTGATTCAGGAATCCCAATCCTAGGAAATCACACTGAGAATAGCAATGCTACCAGGTGCAGTTTCTTCATTAAGGAAGGCCTGGGCTGTAATATAAGGGCTACAACAGGAATCTGCACACTTCAGGAATTTAAATGCAAGGTTAGCGGCTGTAATTAATGTGCACGATTCACAATTCACTTGCAGCTGAGGTTATTCATTAACCAGTTCATTACACTGTCAACGTGAAGTTCTAAAACATCTGCGTTCAATTAAATTGAGGGCATGCACATTCAGCTTTAAGTTGTTCTTCACTTTGCATAAAGATTATGTGCGTCCCACCAAAAGAGAGGAACAAAACAGCTGCACCAGGGGTAACTGGTTTTCAGAAGGTAACGTTTACAAGAAGTGCCAATTATCGATTTGCACCTGGAAATGGTCAGTGGATAGCACAATTCAAGCATGTTCACCTTCACATAAAAAAGACAGACAGCAAAAACAAAGAACAAAAAGATGAAAAAGACAAGTAAAGTGAAATGAGCTGTGACTGCAGTATTTAAAATATATAAGATGTCTTTTTATTCCATTGATGTCTGCTGCACCAAAACTACACCACATTCAAAACAAAACAGAATCAATTTACAGCCTGTGTCCAAAACATTAAACAAATGCTTCTAAGGTCTACTGACATTTTTTCCAATGCTTTGTAATATTTAAGCTCACGTCACAATGGCATTTTAGAGAAATTAATTGAGAGTTCTTTTATCATAGGTACAACAGTACAAATGTGCAAGACTGAGTTAGAATTATGTGAATGTACCCAAATGTTTTGTGCTTGAGTAAGGGGACAGACAGCTGATTAAAGCCTAAGCTTGATTAAACATATTAATTAATTGACGACCTATACCAGTTTCTGACACATTTTGCCACTTATTACAGACTTTTAATTTTGCTGAAATTTCAGTAATGTCCTGAAATGAGCTTGCATGATACTAATTCTGATACAGTATTCTGGAAGTGCCTTCTTGCTGAGCGAATAAGAGTGCATCTTAGTATAAACTGAACCTAGCCCATATTTTCAGGTGAGAACAAGTTGCATTTTATTGAAGTATTCACCTTACAGTGATTATTGCTATAAAAGTGTTCCATAAATATATTTGGCTTAACTAAACAACTTTTCGACCTGATTCAAAGCTAGGGCCATAATAGATTGCAAGTTCATTCAAACACTGGTCTAAAAATGCTGATGAAGCTATTACTCAGTATGTATAGTTGCAAAGTTCTACGCCAAAGAGGTAAAAGGAGAAAAAATGGTGCTTAAACCAGTGGAATTTTCCCATATTCTTTAACATTTAGCAACATGGACAGTTTGAAGGCTTTTTTTTGATAGCTGTTGTTTATGTGGTTAATTCCTAAATCATTTAGATCATTACTGACCACAACTTTGGCTTCAAAGATGCACCCTAATTTGAGTAATTTCGAAGTTCAGACTAGATTTCAGCTTCAGAACACCAGAATGACAATCAAAATGGAAATCAAACTTTAGGCATCTGCAACAACAGGTAATACTCAAGGTATTTGATGTAGAACATGCTGAATATTTTGGCTTCTTTCCAAAGTTCCTGCTGGAGAAGCTTGATAGCACTATGCCTTTTCCTCTCTAGAAACTGGGTTCAATCTAGCTGAGATTAGTAGAATAAACCACTTCTCTTCAGCTTGTAATCATTTGGATACTCACAATCTAGTTCTGAGTTAGAACAGCTCTGCAATGCAAAGCTATACACAATTTGGCACTGAACTGGTTTAATCATTCAGAGACTACTTATAATCTGGACTGTGGACTATGAGTTGTTCATTTAACAATGCAGCATTGTCCTCTCACAGCTATTAAGGTACAAGTCAAACCATTGTCATGGAATGAAAGCCCCTGTTTACTTCCAACATAATTTAGGAAATTAGTCAGCCACAGCCACACTTGGGGATAAAGACCAAATACAAAACTCTTCACAATTTGGCACAAAACTGACTTCCTTATCGAAAAGCTGGCATGAGGGTGGCAAGTGTGCAAAGTAAAAAAAAATCACCCTGGCATATTATAAGGTCCGCTTCTGAAGTTGGCTTAAGGCACATTCTTTGGGCAGTGTGAAGCAAAATTTAATTTTTGACAGTGACAAAGCTGACTTAAAAGTGTATGATACTGACATCACATGCTGGAGAGTGGAAAAGTGGATAAACAGTTGATTCCCCAGTTCTGTAATCCTTCATTTTGGCAGAATGTTTCAAACACCAAAAAAAAAATCCATCAGCACCATTTCACAAGTGCCACCTATTAAAACAAGATGACTCTAGTTTTTGTTTATTAGTTTTGCTTTATATTAGCATAGCTAAATCAGGGAATTAGGTACTGAGAGGTCTGAAGCACCTTTTTACTTAGATAGTAGGAACTGCAGATGCTGGAGAATCTGAGATAACAAGGTGTAGAGCTGGATGAACACAGCAGGCCAAGCAGCATCAGAGGAGCAGGAAGGCTGACGTTTTGGGCCTAGACCCTTCTTCAGAAATGGGGGAGGGGAAGGGGGTTCTGAAATAAATAAGGAGAGAGGGGGAGGCAGATAGAAGATAGATAGAGGAGAAGATAGGTGGAGAGGAGACAGACCGGTCAAAGAGGCGGGTTGGAGCCAGTAAAGGTGAGTGTAGGTGGGGAGGTAGGGAGGCGATAGGTCAGTCAGGGAGGACGGACAGGTCAAGGGGGCGAGATGAGGTTAGTAGGTAGGAGATGGGGGTGGGGCTTGAGGTGGGACGAGGGAATAGTTGGCAGGAAGGACAGATTAGGGAGGCGGGGAAGAGCTGGGCTGGTTTTGGGATGCGGTAGGGGGAGGGGAGATTTTGAAGCTTGTGACGTCCACATTGATACCATTGGGCTGCAGGGTTCCCAAGCGGAATATGAGTTGCTGTTCCTGCAACCTTCGGGTAGCATTCAGTCGCGAACCATTTCAACTCCCCATCCCATTCTGCAGACATTCAGTCGCGAACCATTTCAACTCCCCCTCCCATTCCGCAGATGACATTCGTCCGCTCCACACTCCCCTCCAGCCCCACCTCACCTGGCACTTTTCCCTGCAACCGCAGGAAGTGCTACACCTGCCCCTACACCTCCCCCCTCACCCCCATCCCAGGCCCCAAGAAGACTTTCCACATCAAGCAGATGTTCACCTGCACATCTGCTAATGTGGTATACTGCATCCGCTGTTCCCATTGTGGCCTCCTCTACATCAGGGAAACGAAGCGGAGGCTTGGGGACCGCTTTGCAGAACACCTACGCTTGGTTCGCAATAAACAACTGCACCTCCCAGTCGCGAACCATTTCAACTCCCCCTCCCATTCCGCAGACGACATGTCCATCCAGGGCCTCCTGCAGTGCCACAACGATGGCACCCGAAGGTTGCAGGAACAGCAACTCATATTCTGCTTGGGAACCCTGCAGCCCAATGGTATCAATGTGGACTTCACAAGCTTCAAAATCTCCCCTCCCCCTACCGCATCCCAAAACCAGCCCAGCTCGTCCCCGCCTCCCTAACCTGTCCTTCCTCCCACCTATCCCCTCCTCCCACCTCAAGCCCCACCCCCATCTCCTACCTACTAACCTCATCCCGCCCCCATGACCTGTCCATCCTCCCTGCACTGACCTATCTCCTCCCTACCTCCCCACCTACACTCACCTTTACTGGCTCCATCCCCGCCTCTTCGACCGGTCTGTCTCCTCTCCACCTCTCTTCTCCTCTATCCATCTTCTATGCGCCTCTCCCTCTCTCCCTATTTATTTCAGAACCCCCTTCCCCTCCCCCATTTCTGAAGAAGTGTCTAGGCCTGAAACATCAGCCTTCCTGCTCCTCTGATGCTGCTTGGCCTGCTGTGTTCATCCAGCTCTACACATTGTTATCTCACCTTTTTACTTAGTTCTGTCATTCAAATACAAACTATCCCCAAAGCAACCCAGCGCACCACTTGCACCTTTGTAAGTTACTTATAATAATTCTCAATTGTACCATCTTCCTGACAAATACTTCTAAAGGAAAGCAAGAGTGAAAATAGAGTCTGCCAACAATTTGCACATCCCTTAAACATTCTTCAGGAATGTGAGAAAGTGTGAGATGAAGTTAATTCTAGAATCCTGGACATTAGGCTAATGTTTATTCTAACATGGCAAAGGAGAGTGTCAAGCAGAAGCCCAAAAGAGCTCTGGTGAGATACCGTCAGATATTTGAAAAAAAAATTGTTTAAAAATTAAATAAATTTAGTTGGGTCAATAGCTCAAGCCAACTCTGCTAACATGTCTATACCCGTGCACCTCTGAAGGTCGAAGTAGTCTGGCACAGATTCAGTCATTCCTCATTATATCAAACTGGCACTTTATAATTCTCTGCAATCATAAACTTATTCTTTCATCACACCTGAAGTTGTCTTAATGATCACCTTGCCTTAGTGACCACTTGATGACAGTCCCAGTAATATAGTAATGATTCATATTTGAAGGACCAGCTGTTATATAGAATGCCTAAAGTTAGGACAGAAGTCTCCTTTCAAGGCAGAACTAGTTGCTACATGTTCTAAAAAGTGAGATGTGAGAAAATATCTCAAAGAAAGCATTTAACCTATATTTTTAATGTAGAAAAGAAATGACCTGAACAAATCCCCTTTGAGATTTGCACCTTTACAGGGATTATGCACAGATTTTGCTTAATCTGATATAGCACAGAATTTCAAACATTCTATCAAAAAAAAAACAAATTATAACATCAATCTAAACAGCTTGTCTCATTTGTCCAATGGTGTTTTCAAATAAAACTGTCAAATGAAAAATCTCAACCAAACACAATATAGAACAAAGAGAATGATTCAAATAAAAAAAAAAGCAAGCACCTTTTATGTGTATACATTGACTTTTCCCCAACTTTCTTTCATGTGATATTTATAACTCAAGTGAAATATTTAAAGGGCTTCTTCAGTTATCAGTCAAAAATGACTGGTTGGAAATGTTTAACATCTTGAAAACAAATAGTTGTGTCTTTTCATGTAATTAATAGAAATATGAATGTATTTTTAATAGAAAGCCCTTTGTTTGCAAACAACAACTAAAAAAGCAAAGGCAGTGACTTTTCTGATCTGTGTGTGTATATATATATATATATGTGTTGACATTGTACATGTTGGTGAAGATTTCCTAAAGGAACAGATTGATTTTGCTCAAAATAATCAACAGACTGAATGCTCCTGAACACATTTACAATGTCACCATACACATTGGGCAAAATAACTCTTACCGTGAAGGCAGTTTGACCAGATAAAGCTTCTACAAATCTAAAAAACCCTTAATTTGCTAAAATGTAATCTACGTCAGTACTACAAAACATGTGCCAAAATGTACAGAATATTGCCTCCAACTTGATGTATACAGTACAAACTTGGTATTTTTAACCATTTCAAAGCTGAACCACTTAACATTTATCAATTTTACATAGTTTCCTGCCCAAAAACATTATAATTCATTTTTGCTTTGAAAATAAATTGACCTCAGCTTAGAATTGTTAAATACTCTTTTTCAAAAATATTCTTTGGTAGTGGCAATTTAATTTAAACAGTGTTATTGGAGTCCCATTGTTCCATTATTGTTTTACAGAATGTGAAAAAGACTAGCCTAATACAAGAAATCACTAATGTGCTGGCTCAAGAACCAAAAGGGTGCCTGGGTAATTTGCCGTGATCTTAAAGCTCTATTAAATTTGGATTTACATATCTCGGCCATTAGCAAGGACTGTAAGAACTTATTTCGGAAAAGAAAAAATGTTGCAGTTTCACCAAAATACAAGTTAAACTGTAAGTTATTTAAAAAATAATTTTCGGCATTTTTTTTGTTTGGGATGACATGCAGAGTTTTGGTAAATTTAAAAAAATGCTTTCTAATCACTTCCTAAAAAGATGAAATATATATTTACATTTGGAGAAACTGCTCTTCCCCCATTCCCCAAAATCTGGTGCAGTTTGACCACTGCCACCATTTTGTAATGTAGGCACTAAACATCTTTTTTTCTTTTTGTTTTAACACTGATCATTTCTTTTTTGCAAAAAGACTAAATCTTTTCTCCTTGTCCTTTTTGCCAGGACTTGTTTCTGGAGCGATCACAGGTGGGAGAGGTAGAGTATGTGCCTTGATTTCACCGTGTCTTGTACTCTGTGGTTTGTCTTGTTCTGCTATTGCTGCGTTGAGATTGTGGATCCAGTTGTGCAACTCCTCCTACAGCAGGAAAAGAAAAGTTCATCAATACAAAACCACCAGACTGTCCACACCAAGAAAGATGACAAAGAATTTAGTTTCATCTGTACCACTATGTCTTCAACTACAATAACTAGCCATGAATTCAGCTAAAGTACATCCTTTATGCCGATGTTGTGACCCCAAAGACCGAAAACTGACTATGCATCTCACACCAAAAAAAATTGCTTTGATTTGTGGTAGTTTGCAAAATACTTAGCACAAAGTGTTTTAATTCAAATTTGATACATTGCACAGTGGAGTCACAGAATTGTTAGAGCACAGAAGGAAGGACCCTTTTATGTCTGCGCTAGCTCTCCGATTGAGCAAATTACCTAGCGCCATTCCCTTCCTTTCTCCTCCTAAATTCTACAAATTCTTCCTCTTCAAGTTACGTCTGATTTCCTCCTGAATGCCTCAATTGACCCTGCCTCCACCACACCTCTACGTTGGTGCATTCCACGTCCTAACCACTCGTTCTTCCTCATGTCATCTTTGCTTCTTTTGCTAGTTATTTTAAACTTGTGCCCTCTCGTTTGATCCTTCTCAATTTGCAACTGTTTTTCCCAAGCCACAACACATAAGATTGGCATGGTCTGGAGAACTGAAACACAGGTTCAATCTTGAATATTCATAGTTATTTGTCTCAATTTGTCTCAGTTGCTTTCCCACCAGATTCCCACTGGGGTCCTTGTAGGAATGGAAAACCTACATCAAGGCAAAGCCAGGGGAGGCTGGGATTACACTGGGATCTCAACCAGATATCATTTTCCGGACCTGGCTGGGAAGATTCATCCATGGTTTCTTCACTAACGTTGAGCAAATATCCATAATATTGCATAAACATCATAAATAACATTTGAAATCAGGCATTTTCCTTAGCATGGGAGCTTAGTAACACAAGTATGCCATTTAACCATTCAAGCCTGTTCCACCTTTCAATGAGATCATGCCTGATATGCAGCCTTACTCTCAGTCTCCATATCCTTTGATACTTTTGGCTGATGAAAATCTGTCAATCTTGTGTTTATAATTTGTCATCAAATGTTGCTTGCAAAAGAGAACGCCAAACCCTTAGCACCCATTGTCTTTGGCAGTATAATTTAATTTCTGAAAGATCTGGCTCAAGGTTTTTTTAGACGATGCCTCCTTGTGCCAGACACCCTAACCACGGAAACAGTTTCTCGCTATTTACATGATTACTTCCACTTCATGTCTTGAAAATGTTGATCAATTCACTACTTTATCTTTGACATTCTAGGGACATTAAAGCTTTAAGAGTCCTGATGAAGGGTCCAGGCCCAAAACGTCGACTCTCCTGCTCCTCTGATGCTGCCTGATGTGTTGTGTTCCTCCAGCCCCACACTGTATCGACTCTGACTCCAGCATCTGCAGTTCTTGCTATCTCCGAAATTAAAGCTTGTTTGTTTAATATCATAATTACCTGGACAAAGCTATAAATAAAATATCTTAATGCCGCTAGTAAGTCTCAGTCCCGTTATTAACTAGATATTTATCCAGTAGTTATTTTGCTTACATTGCTGGGCAGCCAATTGCACCTTTTAACACTATAGGCTGCATTTTCTTAGCCGCTGACTGATATTCAAATATTATTTATGTCTGTTGCGACTGTTGAATGATCACATTATGGAGGAGCTGCTTTATTTCTGATATTGTTCATATAGACTCATTTGAACCATCCCCAATGGGTCCAGACTCAGAGCTATGGCCATTTCTGTGACTGCTGCACTAACAGCTGCTACACAAATCATCTGGAAGCCCAGGACCAAAGTCAACGTCCATTAGGAGTGGAGTTGCCTCCTAATGTGGAGCTTCCAGTCATTGGTGCCCTCATGACGTTGCCACAGATGAGAGATGGGCAGTGGTGCTCTACTCAGTTTAGAGATGTTGGTCAAAATGCCATGCCATGATGCCTAGTGTATCTGCAATGCAACACCTTCTTCCACTGGGGCCAACAAAGACCCATATGATATCTCCTCCACATCAGGTGTCCATGCAGGTTTGAGTTTGTGTTTGATTCATTGTTGCCACATGTACCAAGATACAGTGAAAAGTGTTGCTTCGCATGCTATACAGGCTGGTCATACCATACAAAGTGCATCAAGGTAGCAAAACAGAGTGCAGAATACAGTGTAACAGCCACAGAGAAGGTGCAGAGAGATCAACACTAATGCTTGAGAGTTCTGTTCAAAGGTCTGATAATAGCAGGGAAGAGGAATTCCTAGCTCATAGATTCATGCAATCCCTACAAGTTGGAAGCAGGCCATTCAGCCCATATGGATCCTCCAAAGAGCATCTCACCCAGACGCACCACCCTGCCCTATCCCTGTAGCCCTGCATTTCCCACCTAACTGGACACTATGGACAATTTAGTATCGCCAATCCACCTATACTACACATCCCTGGACACTATGGGCAATTTAGTATTGTCAATCCACCTAACTTGCACATCCCTGGACACTACGGATAATTTAGTATCGCCAATCCACCTAACGTACACATCCCTGGACACTACGGAAAATTTAGTATCGCCAATCCACCTAACATACACATCCCTGGACACTGTCGGCAATTTAGTATCACCAATCCACCTAACTTGCACATTCCTGGACACTATGGGCAATTTAGTATCAACAATCCACCTAACCTGCACATCTTCAGACTGTGGGAGGAAATCGGAGCACCCAGAAGAAACACACACAGACACGGACAGAATGTGCAAACTACACACAGACAGTCGCCCAAGGGTGGAATCGAACTTGGGTCCCTGGCGCTGTGAGGCAGCAGTGCCGATCACTGAGCCACCATGGCACCCCAGCTGACAGCAGTTGACCTGGTGCTGAGTTGGTTTTAAGCATGGAGCTGGTGCGGGGAATCCCAGAAGGTCTTGGCCATGATGACTATTTCTATCATTCCTGAGCATAAGATAGCGTGAGAGCAGCACCATAGAGGTGTGGTGCATACATACTGAGTGTAAAATTGCCTGAGATAACTCACTAGAGTGCAAACATTTTCCATTAAACTTCTTGAAACTGACTCTTAACCAATTCTTTGGATAATTCAGCTGCATGAGTTAAACTAATATCTAACACACCATTGAAGTCTGAGAACTGATTCTTCTATACTCCTATTGTTTATCAATGAGAAGGAATGACTTGGGAACACAAAAATTAAAATTAACCTATCTTGCTCTTTCTGAAAACAGGAACCAGCAAAATATTTCAAAGACTGTTAGGTCTGCAGTGACAGTGTACCAATCCAGTGTGATCCAGTCATCACACTCAGTCATACAGAACCAATTGATGGGGTTGTCCCCGGTGTCTTTTTGAGACAGACCTGGAAAACCTCTGACATTACATCAAAAATTTTAACTGGCAAGTATAAAGTACAGGCAGACTAATTGCTCATTCCATTTGGAATTTAATTCAGAGCAAATCAGCTTAATGCATCAGCACATTCCAAACCTATAACCTCTATTGACTAGATGGACAAAGACAGTAGGTGCAACATGCCCTATCCCTAACCCTTACAAGCCATACACTATACTGACTGTGACATATTCACCTTTCCTTCATTTACACCATATCAACATGGTGGAACTCCTTACTTACTAGCACTTTATGAGTACCTACACCTCGCTAACTGTAGTGGTTCAAGAAAATGGTTCACCAGGACCTTCTCAAGAGCAACTATAGATAGTCCCACAATGCAGGTCTTACCAATGATGCGCACATGCCACGAACAAATAAAAAGCACAAATGGATATTAATTAAACAGAGCCATTTACTATGCAACTTCTTATTAACCTACACATACAGTTCTAAGATATCAGCTTACTAGAATGCAAATGTTTCTTCAGTGGCAATGGTTCATACTGGAAATTCAATTTGAAGAAGTGATGGTGCGCTGTATAAGCGCATAACTGACAAAACACTTTGTTGGACAGAGCAGGAAATGATTCTGTACAAACTAACTTAAAGGAATTAAATGAGAACTGAAACTCTTGCAGGCAATAATAATGAAGGGAAACCATACACATTTGCTTACTATACCTATCTGAAATTACATCAATTACTGACTGATAACAATTAGTGTTGCAGTTCAGATGTAAAACGAGACTCAGAAAATTCCAAATGTGCAGTATAACATAAATTTATTCTTTTCCATACAAACAAAGGAAAACTATGTTGCGTGTCAACAGTCCATTCCAAATTTCTATGTTAACAATGTTCATAGATTTTTTTTCCTATAGTGTCTCTTTTCCCACCATTGTTGACATCTTTTGTTATTTTTGTAATGCATTTTAATTGAGCAAGGACGTAAGACCATTCAATCCTTTGAGCCTGCTTCACCATTAAATATAATTTGCTTTTAATTTATTCATGAGATGTTCATTAACCAAGCCAACATTATTGTCCATCCCTAGTTGCTAATCTTCCACCACACCACATCTTCTCACACTATCCCTGTACCGACAATTCCCCCAGTATCCAAAAACAGTCACAGTTTGAGTGTGCTCAATGAATGGGCAAACATAGTTCTCTGGGGTGGAGAATTCCAAAGATACGCAATCATTTGAAAGGAGAAATTTCTCCTTTTGGTCCTGCCTGGCTAATTTCGTCTTCTCAGACTGGCCCCACAAGCAGGGGTAATATCCTTCTTGTATCTATCAATTAAGTCCTTTAAGAATTAAGCCCTTCAAAAATCTACTGAATTCTGTGGAATATAGACCTGGTATACTCAAACTGTTCTTTTGACATAACGACTCCTGGGTTGCATAGATTATTTATTAAATAAATTATGTGTGCTTTGAACCTGAATTGTCGGAATTGGGTTTCATAAATGAGCTTGAAAATACATAAAATTACCCTGACTGTGTACATTTGACTTAGTCATTAATTAAAATTCACAGTGATTTATTTTGGTGTCCCTGTTACAAAAGGGATATTGGTTTTGAATAGAATATATGAGTGTTCAGAATGACTTACCTCATCCTTACCATGGAACAGATATTCAGAGCCATTGTTCAATCTGAAATGGAACATCAAATGCAACACATTTAGATTGAGAGCTCCCACACGTGATTGCATCATTATTTAACAACATGATTGGGTACTCTACAATCAGACCTCTAGCTCCAACAGATAACTAAGGGGTTACCAGTAGTAACGCAGTCTGGAGGCAAATAATTCTCATTAATGGCTCAGTCGCAGTTTACCCCTGTCATCTGAATTCCTCAACTGCTTTAAAGCTTTGAAAATGCATTCTATGAAAGTACTATTCTATTTATAAAAGCATTATGGATTACTGGTACCAGTTTTGTTCTCCTGGAAAATATTAGTCATCTCAGGAGAAAAAGGAATGACAGCTATACAAACAAACCAAAATATTTCTTGCTGCAATATTCCACAGATAGCTGGATACAAAATGGCTGACATCCTGAAGTTGGCATTATTTGCCTGGCGACTTCAGGAGTTCCAAGTTATAATAACAAGGCATCAGAACTATAGAATAGTGGATCATTAGGTGTGCGCAATTCCCTGTCAGTCTTCCCCTGAAATGCTTCAGAAATCTGCCAGAAATACATTGATTAAACCCACAGAACAATTTAGGAAATCAATAAGGCCTGAAAAGTAATTAAGTGAAACAAAATGTGATCTGGGTTGTTGCAATCCCAGCACTACTCAAAATGGAAACTGAGTGAAATGAGAACTCCTGCCAACAGCCCGATGTTACTGAAGCTAATGTTCAGCACCAAAAATAAATTCTTGTTGCCAGACACCTCTCATTTCTTTGGATACATTTTCTCTAATTATTAAAGCGTTGTTGATGTATTGCCCTTTTCTGACCTTGTTTTCAGGCTGCAGTTTTATGTCAATAGAATATCATGACACAGCTTAGAGAAATTTTAGCTATCCCTCCACACCACGTTAGCAACATTAAATCTCCAGGTTGCCATCGGATGTACTCACCGCAGCTTAAATACATGCTTTTTCTTCTTGTAATCAGCAGCCACTTCACACAAAGCACCTTTCAGATTCAGGGGGTCTTCACCATGGTACGTTACTCCTGCACTACAATTCTTTGTATCCTTATAGAAGTAAAGCTCACCATTCTTCAGGGCACAATATAAGGTAGCCCAAGACCTAAGTGTGAAGGCAGCACATATTTGTACACAGAAGCGTAAACTTTCAAATTCAATAACATGGACTTCCTTAGCACTGTATGACAACTTGTGACAATATATAAAGTAACGGAAAAGATATCCCAGGCCGTTTCCCAGACATATTGAAAGCTGATAGTAAATCAGAATGAGATAGAATTAAGAAGTGAGTGAATACTTGATCAAAAAGGTAGGTTTCGGGAGATTTTAAGGGTAGGAAATGTCAAGGAGCAATTTGTTGTAGATGAGAAGGATCTTGAATCAAATGCGTTGGAAAATTACAATAACAGGTCAGTCGGGTTTAGTTTGCCAAAAGATGGGACACAGATCTGGATTTATTGCAGTTCATGGAGGGTGAAGAAAGAGGGGCCAGCAGGAACCCTTGGATAGCTTAATCCGCAGCCAACAGAGGCACAATGGAATATTCCAGTATCAGAAGGTGGAAGCAAGTAGGGAAAACAGAGAGGCTGCAGGTTAGCTCAGGTTCAAATAAAACCCAAAGGTGATGATTGTCTTGTTTAATGTCAGAAAAAAGGCGGTCTTCAGATGTAATCAGAAAGAGGGAATAATGTTTGTCGGGTGAATTGAAATAAAAAACCTTTATCTTTCTAATGTTAAGCAAGATGAAGTGTGATTCATGTAGGATTTGTTATCCAAAGTAGTTAGCATGGAGATCAAGAGAAACAGTGAAAAGGTAGAGTAGTACTGTCCGCAGGGAACTGATTAATTCAGTCAATAGGGAAACATTTATCTAACTTAAAAAAGAAAACAGGATGTTTTTGTGATTACAGTGAAATTTGCTTTGAGAATGTTGCATTTTTTCCATTTCTGAGGTTCCAGTCATGAGTCTCTGCTCTCCTGGGTCAGATGCAGTACAAAGTCCTTTTAGCGATGTCTGTTCAATAGGGAAAGATTTCCTCAAAGCAGCATGAATTAGTTAATCTCTTTGTTAAAAAAAAACATGATTTGTATGATATGACTGACATATCGCACAGAAGAAACCTTTCCCAAAATGGTTTAAAATAAACCATCAATGCATTCATCAAATCAGCCATGACAGTAGCTTGAGATATTCATGATGTCAATCTTGCTATGCTGTGGACAGTACTCATTTGCACTGCATCAGAAAGACTTGCATTTATAAAGCACCTTCAACTTGACTGCCAGACAACTCAGAAGTATTTCACAGCCTACGAGGAACTTTTGAAGTGCAGTCACTGTTGTAGGAAGTGCAGCAACTCAATTGAGCGCAGTAAATTCCCACACACAATGTGTGGTAACAGCTAGATAATAAGCATTTCTGATATCGATTGAGAGTTAAATATGGGCCAGAATGGATGGATAATACCACCCACTTCTTTAAGATAGCACCATGGGATTTTTTAAGTCTACCTGAGAGGGAAGTGAGGTGTCAGGTTAACACCTCATCTGAAAGATGGTGAACGTCACAGAGGAGCACCCCTACAGTAATGCGTAGGGACTTGCCTTTTGTGTTCATTATCTGAAGGAGATCTTAGAGGCAAGACTGCTGTAAACAGAGCCAAGGCTGAAAATGTTATTCACATTCAGATTCCACAAGTTAAAAAAACATTTCAGAGCCTTAGAAATTCACCTGTTTGATGCTTTCCTATTAGGTCCTTCTAGCTCATGTTTACGTGCAAGGTATCCCTCCCATTGGGCAGGTTGTTCTTTCGGAGTCAAGATGGGAAGTGTGGATGAAACTCTGGGCTTCTCTAGTTCAAGCTCTGACAATATCAAGGGCGGAGGTTTGGAAGCTCTCTCGCGAAGCTTCTCTTCAACCTCTGATTTCTCTTCACTCTCCAGTGTCTTTTCTTCTGGGCTGTCAGTACCATTTACCAAGGCAGACAAATCTTCTGAAGTGGTCATCTGAGGGGAGTTGGAAATAACGTGAGACAATAAATTCATGAGCATTAAAAAAATCTTTGCGACTTAGATTGTATTAGTTTTCAGAGCCATGTGCTGTAACTGTGAATGACATTAGTGCTTTTGGTTTGATTATAGACAATAAAAGATCTACATCATTAGTTAGCCCATCAAGAAAAAGCCAATACATTTTCAATACACAGTTAACATGCAGCATGGTTAAATTATATCTAAAGTGAAGGGTAATAAAAATTATGTGTGATATTTGTGTTAGCATATTTGAAGTATGCGCAAGTCCTTTGCCCATTACTTTAACAGAGCTTATTTATTTTAAAATGCTTTTGCTAGAATTTTGAATTGGGAGTTGCCATACAAATACATTAATGTGTTACGTGGCTATATTAAGCAGGGAAATGTCACTGCACAAGCCCTTGAGGTAAGTTGCAAGATATCTGCACTCACTGGTATCTGATTCCTTGAGCATCTTCAATTTTAAACACACCAGCACTCGTGGCAATGCTAAGCTCAGGAATTAATCACCACTCACAACCCTGCTTTCTTCCTTGAGACATCCATTCACCAAATCTTTCGTGGTCTGACTTCATACCTTTTTATTTAGGACAATGTTGGAAATGTTTTGTTACTTTAAAGGTACTGTAGAAATATAAGTTGTTGTTGTAGACTTCCATTGCTTTTAATCTTTCCTGGTTCATACACCTCTCTCTGTCACTAAGACGGCTACCTGTTCTCTTATTACTCTTGACAGGAATACATTGGAATATAAAAGCTTCCACGTAACAACACTTAATTTTGGCTTTAAGCATGGCAGCTTGAAAACAGGGCTTGTCTTTATTTGGTTTCTTACTTAGCAACACAGCAGGATCACGAAATCCATGGGGTACAATTACTCCCTGTCGGGAGCTGGTAAGAACAGTAAATAATCAGGCCCTGGAGAGGTACTTAGCCTCTTCTTGGCACCTCCGACATTGGGGCTGGATGAGAATGTCCATCGAAGACCTCTTCACTCACATCAATTAAAGCCCTCACGTGATTAACTTGCTACATGCCCAGTTTCCTGTCATCCCAGAAGGCAAGAAAAGTGCCTGATTTCTTGACTAGGAAAGCAGGGTGATGACCTGCTGAGTTGTCACTTGGGGGTGAGGGGGGGGAACTCAAATTGCCCCAGTTGAAGGCACAGATGGGGGAGTAAGGGATGGCTGTTCAAAGTACCCTCTGCCCCTGCCTGCGATCCCCCAAATCCTCCCTCCCCACAATCCCCACCCTGCCAGACCCAATTGAAAATGACCTGTCTCCTTGCTCATGCCTGGCCTTCTAGTAATGAACACAGAAACTGATGGGCAACCATTTCTAGGATTGTTGGGGGCGGTGAACGTAAATGAACCTCACTGCCGACACTGGTCGACAGTTAAAGTGACTGGTTGGAGTTTAATTCAGCAAGTGTTCTCACCGAAGGTGCATGACACTTTACTTAGCCATCTGAGAGAGGATCCATTAGAGAGGATCTGGAACTTAGTTTCTTCTGGTGATGTAAAATAATGTCTTTTATCGGACAGGCATGTGTCATATCACACACGATGTTGTTAGTTTCATCATCAGTGTTACACTGCAGCTTGTATGATCATGTCTGTTAATACTGTCAACAGCCAATCATTGAATAAATTCCCCACTATGTCTGCAAAGGAACTTAAAATATTAATATGCCAGCACCCATTCTAAAATAATGAAACGTCACACAAACATGGATATGGTTTGTTTATTGGTGTCATTAACAATAATCTATAGGCTGCATATTAGTTATGCTTACGTACTGTGAAGACCACAAATACTTCAGTTAATGGAAAGGATGGCACTACAGATTCTTTCACTCCAGCAAGTATCAGAGTGAGGTTTGGGTAAGTGGGTCAAATGTGCAGTGTCAGCAAAGATACTGACCGAGAGGCAGTTTATGAGTCTTTTACAGATTGTATGATAAAGCTGTTTAATTGCCTTATTAAATCTCAGAGTGCTGAGGGGGCCTCACTGAAAGATGCATGTTCTGTAGATAATGCTATGGTGTGTATCTATAAATACTATGCATTACCAGACGGAGAAGTCGTGGATACGTTTATGTGATCGTCGGGCTGAAGATGGGAGCAGCCTTAGAGGTCAAACCTGTTAACTCGCCTGCCAGATATTGTTGGATACAGCTTCATGTCCTCAAATAAAAATAATTAATTTAGTTACTAATCCTCTTGCTGTGGTTGGGATGTTTGCAGATAGAAAGCACAACAGATAATAACTGCAAAAGTGATCTTGCTCCTGTTAAATTACGTTAAATAATGAGATATGGAATCACGCATCGTATGTTCTTCTTTAGGTTTCAAGTGGTTTAAAGCCCATTTTTGAGTTTGGGGGTGCGGGGGGTGGGGGGCGCGGTGGGCTGGGGTGGATGTGGTTTAGGACCTCTCCATTCCACTTTTCTTACAGCAGGTTGCACACAAACATGGGGTCCTTTCCTCCTCATTTAACTCATCGTAGCCTCAGTGCAAGTGGGGTCTGCCTGGAAACTCGGCAGGAAGCCATGCTCTGTGCAATGGCAGCAAGTGATGGAGCCAGGCCTGCTCCTCTTAAAGGCAGCCTGTCCTTCTTAAAGTGGGGCTGCACCTTTTATTGTCATCTTCTTATGGAAGGAAGCTGGCCACCTGTACTTTCACTCGATGCACACAGGAGCTTCACAAGTGCCGCACTCGGGACGACAGAGACTCCCTAGGTACGTGAACGTGGAAATGATTGTCTAGCTGTAAAGGCAGTCGAGATAGAGGTTGCATTTCCACAGGAGACTTTCAAAGACCATCTTGTGAAGAAAATGGCAGCCAGTAGCTGGGAAGGTCCGTACAAGGAGTCTGTCCCCAAGGTCCTGCCAGCAGTGCCACAATAAGTGTCATGATCTCATTCAAAGTCCCATTCTGTTCACTGCACCATAGCCCACGATTCAGCCATCTGCATTCCCTTACCCTAACACCCAGATACTTCACTTCACCCTCAAACAAAATCCACTCCCATTGCCTGCACCCACCATCAGCAGCAGCAACAGGCATATCACATTAATACTGCGTCTCACCATCACTCACATTCTGCCTCTGGGTGAGGTCACGCATAATAGGAGAACAAGAATCTCCAGCATCTACAGATGAGATTGTTGGCAACACCACAGCACAGGTGTAGCAAGGACTATACCAACAGGGTCCTTGAGATGGTGGTATTACCTATCTTCCAACTTCCAGCAAACCCTCATCCGGCTATCACCCCTAACATGCAGCCTGCAATTAATATGACCATGGACTCCTTACTTTCTCCCACTTGCCCCTTCCATTGCCCCAATCTTCCCCTGTTTGACCAGATGCCAGGAAGCGCCTCCTGCTGAGTGAGTGCTCACCCAGGAGGCAGCGAGGGAGCAAACCCAGGCTGAGGAAGCATCGTCACTGGATCTGATAGTCGCAGTTACCAGATAATGGCACTGCATGAATGCTACAGGTTGGAACGGAGTCCGAATCAGCAGATAATGAGTCGCTGGGCACTGGTGGGCTGAGGTCAGGTCAATGGGAAGACAGTTTATGTTCCAACTCCCTGAAGGATAAGATTGTGTGCGCCTTCTACTACAGAGGTATTTGAGGAGGCTGTATATGGGAGAAGTTGTAGCTTTAGAACGCGGTGCTATTCGTTAGGCAGCCAACCTGCCTTGTGTCCGTACTGAGAAGCATGTAGGAATCCAGCTCCAAATTGGCAGAGGGCATCGTGCCAGGATTCCCCTCTCCTTGGCTTAGCCATCATGCTTCATATCTAGATACAGTGTAACTACAGACTTTACCTGTTGCGGCGTGTGTGTGGACACCCCTGGGAGGATGCCAAATGCAGCATCGCATCACAACACCGCCGTAAGCACTGCACAGTGCATCTACGGACTTCTTAAATCGCTGAGCTAAGTGTAGATCACCTCATCTGCAAGTCAGGTCTCTCGAGTGGAGGGTCCCTTGTGTGGGCCATGCTGGATGTCAAGTGAATACATTAATTGAGCCTGTCTGGTCTAGCTTTGTAAATCGTACGTTAAATCAGTCAATACATTTGACATCACGTTCTGGCCAGCTGGAAATGTTCTGACACACGTGCACCCACTCAGGTGCCCTTCCTAATATGGGACACACCACGGACAACACAGAAAACAGCAAATGGCTGTGTACACTCCACACTGCACTCAGTGGATCTCCAACTCCCCCAGGACTAGCTCCGGTGGTGTTACAGTTCAGAATTCCACATTGCTTTATTTTTCCTCTAATCTTGCAATTGTTCCTAACATTAATGCAGCAAATGTATGCTACAAAGCAGTTCATTCTGACATTATATAGGGAAATTCATAAATCTAAGTGAATCAGATCAGATTCAAATCTCCAGTGATGTCACATCTATAGTTACAACGAGCAGTAATTTGTTGACAACATGGCAGAGTATTATTTAAATGGTGATATGTTGGGAAATGTCGCTAAATAAAGGGACCTGGGGGTCCCCATACACCAGGCACTGAGAGGAAACATGTAGGTGCAGGAAGCACTGAGGAAGGAAAATGGCATGTTGGTCTTCATTGTAAACGGGAGCAAGAATTCCTTACTGCAGCTACACAAGGCCTTGGTGTGACCACACGTAAGCGTTGTGTGCAGTTCGGTCTCCTTACTTTAGGACAGATGTACTTGCCATTGAGTCAATGCAGTGAAGATTCACCAGGCTGGTTCCTGGTTGGTAGGTTTGTTATAGGAGGAGAGATTGGGTCAACTGGGCCTGTATTTACTGGAGTTTGGAAGAACAGGAGGGATCACATTGAAATTGAAAAAAATTCTAACAGGGCTGGGCAGACTGGATTTGAGGAAGATTTTCCTCTGGCTGGGGAGACCAGAGCATGGGGTCCATGTTTAACCATTTTGGACTGAGATAAGGAGAAATTCCTTAATCAG